ATGCTGACATCCAGAATCTGTATTCAGAGGTGTCTGAAGGCTGGAGACACACCAAGAAGAAACAAGTTTAACATGTTCAGGACTTATTTGGATACTTAGCCGTAGAGCTCCAAGTACAGCAAGTCATTCTCAACTGAAACCTCATAACTCTAATTCAGCTGTTCCTGAAGAGTCACAACAAAGGACACCCACACAAGATTTCCCACAGAGGGGTGGTTTCTAGAAGGAAACCTATAATACACCTACAGTTCTGTTCCTTGCCTCTACTGCTTCTAAGACAGTGATCAAAACCTTTCAACATTATCAGGCTGTCTACTTTCCCCTCCTCAAACTTTATCTGCTAGTCTTGCATGTTTCCAGCTACCATCATCCTTAAGTAATTTTTCTCATATGAGATTCATACTTAAATGTGTGTAAGCAGGAAGCATTCAGAAATCAGTCACAGGTCTTTCAAATCTTTTTCATCAGTCTGGACTTCACATAAAATTCTCCAGCCCTGACTGGGAGCTTTCTGACCTGCCTCAGCTGTTACCAGACTGATAGTACTCCCATCTGCACATGTATGCAGCTGCTGCAGGAACCTCCATCACCACATAAACTAGGAAATAACCTCAGATCACTTACTCATTTCTGAAAAAGCTCTAACCTCCAAGTGCAACATCCATTTCTGGTGCAGTTATTTATGTGCACATTTTTCACTCTTCCTTCCTCATCATACTCATTAGGTATTTTTATAGCAGCGAGGAAAAACCACAGTTTAGGGCAGGTTCTGCCTAGATTCTCTTGCCTCCACTCTATGGTCACTTGTGTAGAGCATGTTTAGAATACTGAAGTACAATCATTCCTCTTCTGTTTGGCCAATTTCATAGCCACAGTCTTCCAGTTAAAGTAGTACTTCAGTTTTAATAAACACTTTTACAAAGAAATTCAAATGAAGTCCTGGAAGAAGAGTGCTATTACACCAAAGTTAATGCAGAATTGCTCAAAGCTTTAAAAACAGTTTTGTCTACCAGTTGTCATTAGTGACATTCTTCAGGAGAAGCCAAGATCTAGTGGTCATCTGTGACTTTTACCACCCCTGGCCTCCAGAGAGTTGCATGTTCATACAGGCTAATGTGACTGACAGTGGTAACCAATGTGATCATAAAGCAGCAGCTAACACTACTCAGTTGCTGGTCTTATTAGCTCAGATCAAAAGTTTTTATGATACAGAAGGTCCTTAAAGTGTTTTTTCAGTGATAGTTGTCCAAGTTTCATCTATATGCTATATTCGCCTCCTATACTACATTGTGGTCAGTGCAGTATACTTGCTAAAACAGCATGCCTGTCAAGTAGGAATCTTTAGTGTATTATAACAGACTTTAAAAGCACTTCCCTATCATTAAGATTCCTTTGCTTTGTATCTCTTTACCACAATGACTCATTCCTATCTCCTATTTATTTTGCCAATTATTTACGTCCTTTGATCAAGGGGATTAACCTGGTTTTAACACTTTCAGAATTTATCCAGGAAGAAAGATTTATCATAACTCCATATGTCAAGATAAAAAAAAAAAAAACCAAGAGTAATGCCTAAGGGCAGCTAAGGTTTAGAAGTTTTGCTCCTGTATGAACATGCATGTAATCCGTTCAGCTTCTTTCAGAACACTTCACACTGCAACCAAGATAATTTGACAGCGACTGATCAGTCTTATTCCAAGCTTTTTGCTCTCCATTATTCAAGAAGCTACAACTTGTGTCTAAAAACTAAATCTAAAAACTAAAATGACTGAGTATTTCTGGAATATACAAGTCTAGGCACAGCAGTACCCTTCTTCCCCCTTCACTCTTTCACACCCCCTCCCCTTTGATCCTGCTGCAGGAATTTGCATGACTTTGTACTTTCCAACAGCAAGACTATTTTCACCAGAAAAACAGCATAGGCCCTGTAACACTGTCATCCTCTATTCAATAGAATTATCTAATCCCTAAAAAACCTCAGCTAGCACAAGAAATTGAAGTCACTCAGGAACCTGCTGCATTGCAATACACAGCACAACATTCATCGGTCTGGCAACAGTCACACCAGAAACCAGCACAGTATCTGCATTATAATCTTTAGCTGATGACTGAACTACATGGTTAGTTTTTATCATTGATTTAGGTACAGACCCTTACATTGCAGCACCCAGCTATTTGAGGAAAGCTTTTTATGATGAACTATTAAGTACAAGCTTTGATCTAGTGAAAAAATAACATGCCTTACTATGCTTAAGGGTTAGGCTTTAATTCAGAAGCCTTTTTAAAGGCATCAAATCAATTCAGAATGCCAGCACCATATTGCTTGCAGGGAAGTCACATGTAACATTACTTACCATAAGATTTAGATCCCTTCAAGAGATCTAAAGCTGTTTGTCTGCACACACCAGCAGACAAAATTATCTACATGAGCTGTTGAAAGCCAGAAGACAGTTGGGCTGATGACTTAAAAGGGAATGACTATCACATGCTCAGATACTTTGTTACACACTTTAATAAAGCGCCTTAGGGAACGTGTGCTATGACTATAGAGAAGCCATCGTCAACCTGGTTCTCTAATAATTTCTATATAAACCTTTTAACATCCTCAGGCATTTAGAAATATTTATGAGTATAGATGTAGAAAGCTGTAGAACACATTCCCAGGTCAAGGACTTTAGCAGGTTTAAGACCATGAAGCAACCCTTATGGATACTAAAATCCCTTTTATTTTTATGATTAACGCTTAACTGAGATGTCAAGTTCTACAGGAGTCTGAACTGTTACTCACACTGGCTAAGCACAGCCCAATCAACTAACACTAAGACTAAGATTACTTCTCTTCCTGGTCTTGTTTGTTTTTTTTTTTAATGGGGAAAGGACCTCCAGCCCCTTGGAAACAGAAAAGCCTAAACTACCAGGTTAAACATAAGAGTTTGGAGTACAAATTGCAAAACAGCTGTATTTTCCTTTTTCATTTTTTCTAAAAAAGGGAAAGACTTCAGGAGTTTCGTACAAAACTATGCACCACATGGTAATATAGGAAAATTTTTGCCCGTTTAGTAGGGCATCATTTGCAATAGGTCTGGAAGTGTTATGAATAGTATATAGTCATTTTGGTGACAGGAAAAAATTTATTCGTCAATCTATCAGCAATATTAGCACAAGCCTCCAGGAATTTATGAGCAGCTCTTAACTCAGTCCTCACCTAGCAGTGTCCAAGATACACTAAGGACAATAATCAAGAGTGAAAAATACTGTCTTGAAATAGATCTTGAAATTAATGCATGGGTGTATTGACAGGGCTTCCCATAACCTCAATAGGTTCTGTCCAAATTCTGTTGTAAGTTACAGCTAAGTTTCTGCCTAGCCTGTTGAAAGAGATTGCTTTGGCAAAGCACACAGCCTACCCCAGTCTCAGAAACCAAGGGCTGAAGAGAAGTTAAACACAAGCATGGCAGCCTGCCAAACCCCAGGATCCTGATAGTCTCCCCTCTTTAATCTTTGGAACCCCAGACTTGCTAAAATACATCCAGAGTGTTGTAGCAGCTTGCACTGATACTGCCAATTGATTTAAAGAAAGTTAAAACCGATATGTGAAAGGAACATGTCAGAAGAGAAAGCCTGCCAACATTTTACTCGCTCTCCAAAACAGCAATTAGACAATATTTTAGTTTGCCCTACAGGCCAGCAGCAGAAAGATCTACGGTGTATTTCAGCATATGGCAGTAAGAACCAGGCTTTTTAGTTTGAGGAATCATATTTGAAGTGTTTTAAAGATAACCTTTAGAGCAGAAAGACCAGAAGCTGATGTACAGCTGGTCTGTCACAGGGTTACAGCAGCCACATGCTGTGCTTCCTCTTTTCCCAGCTTCCACTTGATAAAGGGTGGAGATCATGGAAACAGTAACTACCAGTTGTTATCCTAGTATCTTCCAGTAGTATAAGTTTAAACACAAGCATTTGAAATATAGTCTACTTTTTCATATCCAAGGAGATACTCTGAACATGGTGGAGAGGGATGGAAAGAGCTGCAGGTTAATACCTGGGCTGCACACAAACCTAGAAAGGCAATACCAACTTGAGATGATTAAGGAGTTGAGGACACTGACTTCTTACAAGACCACAGCAAAACAGAGTTTGTTCTGTGGCATTTAACACCACAGCATAAGTAAAGTTAACCGTGATAGGTATACAGTTGGAGTCTTTAAGACAGAGGTGTTAAAGAACAGTTTTGAACTATATATAGGAAAGGAATGATGTGTGGTTCGGACAAGCGAACAGGGCTTTTCTGCTTCCGTGTGCTCAAAGTACCTTTTTGATACACAAGCCCTTGATCTGGATGTAGAACTAAGCATAACACAAGTCCCATTCCCTCACTACACATTGCAGGGACACAGGTTGCTTCTGAATTAAATAGGTGACTCCAAACATGCAAAGTTTGACCATACTTCCTTTGAAGGCAATTTTAGCTATTTGAGTTACCTTTAACCTGTAACGTGTGCTTATTAAGCACAGCCTACTTGGAAAAGATACTTATTTCATCTAGAAGTGTTACAGAGCCATAACCATGAATGAATTTAAGCAGTAGTCATAACCAAGGCCACAAGCACCTGGGCAAGTGGCTCGGGAGGAGCAGTATGAGCAGGAACCCTCCGGCAGCCCTGGGGCCAGCAAGCAGAGCAGAGCAGCTTTTTGAGGACTGCTGTAAAACCCTGGGCCAAGCCAAGAGCCCCACAACATCAGCCAACAGGAGCACGCACAGCCTATAAAAAGTCAAAAACTTCACTCCTACATCAAGACCTCCCTCTACTTATGCTCAAACGCAGACAAGAGGGGTTGCGGGCAATAGGGGGAAGGAGAAAAACAAGACGACAGACTTCACAGTCAAAATACACTTTCCTCGGCAGAGGGCGGGCCCCGCGCCCCCCGACAGGCGGGTCCACGGGCCTCTGCCCCCTCGGGGCTCACCCTGCAGAGAGACGCCCGCCCCCGGCCCTTACCTGCTATATCCCAGAGCTGCAGCCGCACCAGGGTCTTGCTGTCCCAGTTGATGACTTTGAGGGCGAAATCCACCCCGATGGTGGCCCGGTAGTGCTGGGAGAAGAGCTGGTGCACGTAGCGCTTGATAATGCTGGTCTTACCCACGCCCAGCTCCCCGATCACCAGCACCTTGAAGAGGTGCTCCCGGCACTCCGGCACGCCGGAGCCCGTTCCTTCCCCGCCAGCCATCCTCGGGCCTCCCGCGGAGCGGAGCGCAGCGCTGCGGGGCCCGGCGGGGGACGCCGCGGGGAGGCCGGGCTGCCGGGGCCGCGGCTCTCCCGCCTCTAAACTTTCCCAGCCGGCAACTTTCCTCCAACTTTCCCCAGCCGGCTCCCCGCCGGGCCGGCCCACCC